TGGTGTTCAGTTGTCCTACGTATACCCCAGTATCACAAATGGTGTTCAGTTGTCCTATGTATACCCCAGTATCACAAATGGTGTTCAGTTGTCCTACGTATAACAGTATCACAAATGATGTTCAGTTGTCCTATACATATACCCCAGTATCACAAATGGTGTTCAGTTGTCCTACGTATACCCCAGTATCACTACTGGTATTCAGTTGTCCTACGTATACCCCAGTATCACTACTGGTATTCAGTTGTCCTACGTATACCCCAGTATCACTACTGGTGTTCAGTTGTCCTACTTATACCCCAGTATCACTACTGGTGTTCAGTTGTCCTACTTATACCCCAGTATCACTACTGGTGTTCAGTTGTCCTACGTATACCCCAGGATCACAAATGGTGTTCAGTTGTCCTATGTATACCCCAGTATCACAAATGGTATTCAGTTGTCCTAAGTATACCCCAGTATCACAAATGGTATTCAGTTGTCCTAAGTATACCCCAGTATCACAAATGGTATTCAGTTGTCCTACGTATACCCCAGTATCACCAATGGTGTTCAGTTGTCCTACGTATACTCCAGTATCACAAATGGTGTTCAGTTGTCCTATGTATACCCCAGTATCACAAATGGTTTCAGTTGTCCTACGTATACCCCAGTATCACAACTGGTGTTCAGTTGTCCTACGTATACCCCAGGATCACAAATGGTGTTCAGTTGTCCTATGTATACCCCAGTATCACAAATGGTTTCAGTTGTCCTACGTATTCCCCAGTATCACAAATGGTATTCAGTTGTCCTAAGTATACCCCAGTATCACAAATGGTATTCAGTTGTCCTACGTATACCCCAGAATCCCTTCTGGTGTTCAGTTGTCCTACGTATACCCCAGTATCACAAATGATGTTAAGTTGTCCTACGTATACCCCAGTATCACAAATGGTATTCAGTTGTCCTATGTATACCCCAGAATCACTTCTGGTGTTCAGTTGTCCTATGTATACCCCAGTATCACAAATGGTGTTCAGTTGTCCTACGTATAACAGTATCACAAATGATGTTCAGTTGTCCTATACATATACCCCAGTATCACAAATGGTGTACAGTTGTCCTACGTATACCCCAGTATCACAAATGGGATTCAGTTGTCCTACGTATACCCCAGAATCACTTCTGGTGTTCAGTTGTCCTACGTATTCCCCAGTATCACAAATGGTATTCAGTTGTCCTAAGTATACCCCAGTATCACAAATGGTATTCAGTTGTCCTATGTATACCCCAGAATCACTTCTGGTGTTCAGTTGTCCTATGTATACCCCAGTATCACAAATGGTATTCAGTTGTCCTACGTATACCCCAGTATCACAAATGATGTTCAGTTGTCCTACGTATACCCCAGTATCACAAATGGTGTTCAGCTGTCCTATGTATACCCCAGGATCACTACTGGTGTTCAGCAGTCATAACTAAGTATCATTATTGGTGCTCAGCAGTCCTACCTTGGTATCATTATTGGTGTTCATGATCAGACACCAGCCGAATGCAAGTCTTACCCCAGTTTTCATTATCACATTTATATCATTAACTGATGAAGTGTCAACCTGTATCATTAATATGAGGTGTACAAGGTGTTAGTTTATTCATACATTTGTATCAGACCAACATTTCTCAACTCTTTGTTACTAAGATAAGAAAATCCAGTCTCTGACAAGATATCTGCTTCATTATCAGAAAGCCAAATGAAACAATTCATTATCAGAATAGGATTAAATTCATCTGAACATCAATAATGATTATAGATAGCAAGATAAGTTAAGTCTGTAGGCCAACACTGCAGCATGTATCTGATAAATGCTGTGGATTTACTGACCTATAGCCTGCAAACATTTTATGTGGTAAACTCCAGATCTGATCTGTATATTACTTGAATCACATTATAACAAGTATATAAAAAGGTTGGAAATATCACGGTATCACACAACTTTGACAACTGTTATCCCCCACCTCTCCAAATTAATGAAATATTTAAGATATATACAGCTAATCACCATATCAGCATAGCTCAAAACACAAATGTTCTCACACTGTAAAAATAAACTACGTAGGCCCCATCATTTTTTTGTGTGTCAGCTAGAGTTAATGTTGACTTTGTAGTGACTTGTTAGGTGTAACTGACACCAGTCCAGTGCTGATGTGTAGTACCACTGATAGCCAGCTATACCTGTGTAAAGAATGAATTAAATACCAGCTAGGACACTTCAATAGCTGCCCCTCACCTATATACATACAACGTCGTATACACACGTATCTGACTTTTACTCAATCTGGAATATCTTATAAATCTAAGTAGATGTGAAGACAAAGGTCTTAAAAACAGTCAGGAAAATAAAGAATTACCTTTCTTTCTACGTCGTAGCCTCATGGTTGCAGTTAAATCGACCTCATCCAGACATAGAATTTGAGGACCACTCTGAGGCAAGTGTATAGGGGCCCTGTTTTAGTGATGTGGCTCACAATGAGATACACTTGATTGCTTCAATGCTTCCTCACACACACACACAACTAGTTGAATATTTTATCCTATATATGGCTAAATCCACGATGTCTGTCTCGAACCACACCTGAAGACCACCACTAATACCAAGGAACAGTATATATATCTCCCTCCTCCGGCCACAAACCATGTGACCTGAAGTTTAAATCAAGGGTGTCCGCAAACCAACAGGTAATGCCTATATGTACAGCTATCTATGTTGTGTGTGTGATGGGCCGTATGTAAGTAGGGCACACTGTATTACACCTGTGTGGAAGAGATCCAGGAGACTGGAGGCACATTAGCAACCCCTTGGAGGAGGACATATGTGTGTCTGTGGTTGTAAAACACACTCTACCCAGCACTCAACAGACATCGATTTTAATCCTGCTGAAAATTCTCCCACCACACTCCTGCCGGCAGTCTGACAAATCACCTGTGTGCCATCCTATTTGTCCGAGTAGACTCTGGTAAGTAGTTTACCTCCTCCTCACACCATCACTAATCTCCCTAAACAGGAATGGTGGCAGCAGTGATCAAGTCCTTGTCATAATGATAATACACACAGTAGAGCTAGCCGACTCTAAAATCAATCTGGACGGCAATGACCACAGTGCATGTTCATTTGTATTTTCCACTTTAACACTCTTGAGCAATTTTAACAAAATGAACTATTTTGATCAATTAATACCTATATATTTTTCTGTAAATATACGTATATATATGTATATTGGCCCCTCTGTTAACATCCCTTTTTGTTTCTACTGATGGTCTTGAACATGTACGTTACCATTAATGATCTTGAACAATGTATACAAAATGATTTTTTTTTGGTGAATTAATGACATCAAATTTTCCGTGTTCTTTCCAGTATTTCGGATCCCTATATTGATACAATTATAAACAATACTTCCCTTTCCTTGTTATCTTTGTACTTTAACCTGTCCCTATATACTGACTAATGCAATATCATTATCATGTGATCGCCTAAAACAAGCTGTTTATTCATACAGTAAATTAAATCTCTTCGTTTATTTACAAGCTTGCCTATAGCTAATGCCTACATATTTCAAAGTCCAATTTTCGTTTTTTATCAACAATTCCTGTACGTGTATGCATGCCCCCTCAATGCATTGCTAAAACCCTTCATAATGACATTATTTCACCTGCAATTTTTTTAGTTCTTTTTCTGGCATATTTCAGAAAAAGCAATGAACTAATCTCTCCAAACAATTATTAAAAAAAAAACTAATCTATGGAAGACAGTCATAATCAACCATAGGATACAGGGTATATATATATTTATTTGTTATATATATACTTATTTATACTTATTTGTTATATATATACTTATTTGTTCCTCTTTATGCAAGGTAAATGATGGGATATATGTACTTATTTGTTCCTCTTTATACAAGGTAAATGATGGCATATATATATATACTTATTTTTTTTATATATATATACTTATTTGTTATATATATACTTATTTATACTTATTTGTTATATATATACTTATTTGTTCCTCTTTATGCAAGGTAAATGATGGGATATATATACTTATTTGTTCCTCTTTATACAAGGTAAATGATGGCATATATATATATACTTATTTATTTTTTATATATATACTTATTTGTTCCTTTTTATAAAGAGTAAATGATGGCACATATATACTTTGTATTCTTTGACCCATATATTTGTTATATATATACTTATTTGTTATAGTAGATAATAAATAAATAATACCTTGAAAAGGAAGGACTTATTTATTTATTATTATTTGTTATATATATACTTATTTGTTATATATATACTTATTTGTTTCTCTTATACTTATTTGTTCCTCTTTATACAAGGTTAATGATGGGATATATATACTTATTTGTTCCTCTTTAATTTAAATTTCTGACTGGATTTTAAAATTGGATAAACAAGGTAAATGACAGCCATTTTATATATTATTTGCACCTCTTAAATTTAATTTCTGACTAAGTTTAAAGGTCTTCCTGGAAGCTTACAAGGAAATACCTGTAGATGTGCATGACTATATTACTTGTAAAAGATTATTTTTAACAGCTCAACTTCTCTGTATTATAATAGCTAGACACTAATTATATGGTTAAGTGGTTAGGACATCCTATTAGCTCATTACACAGAGGTTCTCCATGTTTCTAAATGTTTACATATATGCATAATACAATTGTATAATACAGCAACAGGATCTATTTCAAATGTAGTGAGGCTTTTTCTAAGTTGACTAACCCTCATCAGCAACTATTTGTGGAGAACCTTGAGTTTATGTTATTCTGGAGGCTTGAGTTACATCTTTTTTATTTAATTTAATATCTAATGACATTTTTGGCATATTAATTAGCTCCTGAAATGAGTTAAATGACCAGTGAAGTGTTGAAAATAATGTCAGTCTCCGGTTCAGTATGAAGAACACAGTGTATGTAACATCATTTTACTGCTGCCTTCAATTTCCACTTGTAATTGTTGGTGTACATGTGGCATCTCATTATAGTGCTAACATATGTGTTTTATAGCACAGTCAAATAGGTCAATTATTCTGTCTATGGTTATTTCCTGTTGCCCTTTACAGCATACATGCATTATATTTTACAGCAGATACTGAACATTATTGATCTTTTATAATATATACACAAATCAAAAGATGATGTTACCTTTTTACACACTATAATGGCAAATATAACTGTTAAAAACTGTGTTTTTTAATAAACATAAAGAAACAGCACAAACCAACAAAGCCACAGAAATAATGCTTTACATAAGACTGTAGGAGTTGTCTCCCTTCGATTTCACAAGAGTACAAATTCAACGGGTATGATATTATTGCATTCAACACAGAAGAGGTCATTAGGACCAATGAAAGATTAAATTTAAAATGTTAAATTAATTAAGAAATAAAACGCTGGACCAGAATTGTGTCGTAATTTCATCCATCAGACTAATAAGTATAACTGTAAACATATCACTAAAATTAGAATATTTTGTTAATTTTTTGTCATTCATTTTATGATACATTACAGAGGGCCTGTATCGCTCACCTGGACAATAAAGCAATTATGGAAAATTATTCTTATTATATCAAATCCCTCCAATGCTGAATGGTACATAAGAAAGATTTTAAAGATTTAAAGCTCTAATTTCCCTATGGGGCCCCACAACTTTCAGCCCCAAGGGGGTCCAAACCCACCTTTTATACAAAATAAGGTCCCCTTTACCCAAGGATGCTCCAGGTTAAATTGGGACATAATCCCTTAATTCCTATGGTAGAAGAAGGATTTCAAAGGTTTTTACCTCTTTTTCACCTGTTGGGCCCCACAACTCTGCCCACAGTGGGACAACACCCACTATTTATACAAAATTTAGTCCCCTTTGCCCAAGGATGCTCCAGGTTAAATTGGGATGAAATCCCTTAATCCCTATGGTAGAAGAAGGATTTTAAAGGTTTTACCTCTATTTCCCCTATTATGCACACCCATATAATATAGTTGTACAATGGGCCATTCCCCACAATATCATTGAAAACCCAAATAACAATAAAATCACCAGAACAGAATACTTGATCACATTAACAGATGGTGGAATGAGTAACATGAGAGCTGATATACAGGTATTGACTTCTGAGCAGGTATATGTACATACTGAAACTTACTTACACTATACACAATATATTGTTATTATTAGACATAGAACAACTGTGATTGGGTTAACATTGTTATATTATTCATATGTGTGCAAGTACATGTACTATGTACATGTATTCCTTCTGATAATGTCATTATATATATTTTTTAATTTGAAATCTTTTTGAAATCCTTTCAATTTTCCTTTAATGCAGGGGAGAGGATTTAAACACCTTGTATATGTTAACACTTACGAAACATCATTATAATCTATATCAGATATTGAAACAAACATGCATATCTATATGGTTGTAATGCCTATCATGTATCGTTTATCAATTTTGAAATTTAAACAACCACTGTAAAATTGACAACTAGATCAAATTCGAACTTTAACTTTCAATTTTAAAGATACTTAAAAAGTCCATAATTCTCAGAATGGTTATTGATATATGTAAAATGTTTTTATAAGTCTCTTGTGCTATATTGTATCACAAATTTTATCCACCCTTAAATTTTATTGTCAATCCTAATGCTATGGTCTGCACTAGCCAGGAAAATTAGATTTCTAATTATTCTAAACTCCTATACAATATTCCTATGCCAGCTGAACATTTTACAGGTATTTGAAATTAAACATGGAACACACATAATAGGACGGACAGGACAAACTAGACAACAACAAATTATTGTTTTCTAAACAAACGAAAGCATGCGCTATGATTGGTACAGCACTTACCCATCTACAGGGGAAAAGCCGACAATGAAATGGAAAACAGAAAACATCACAACAAATTGTAGCATTATAGATAAAATATAATGAGTACAGGAATATCTGGATAGGATTCAATGTTTGGTCTGGTATACTGTGTATAAAGTATAGATAGGTATCACTATCTTGTTACGCAGTGATTAGAAATAATTACTACACCTACAATTGTATAACAGGCATTGTGGTGTCAGTCACAACAGATATGACATCATACTAGGGCATTGTGTATATCCCTTCATGTTGCACACATAAACGTTCCTAATGCTGTATACATTGTATAAATCTATGAGTTGTAAACATTGAGATGTTTTCAGTGATTTTGAACTTAGATCAACCTTTTCTCGCGTAAAACATATCATATTAATATCCTTAATGGGGGACACGTATATGTATATATATTTTTCAGTACAATAAATCCTTACAACATTTATTCAAATGCTTTATTGTACAATACAGTGTTTTTCTTTCTATCTAGATTTTACAATAGTCCATCATTTTACTGAAATTGGAAGATAACCTAATAATACATTTGTTTTGATTGAGGAAGCAACCTGTATTCAAATTTAAAATTTGGCCAAAAACCCCCACTGAAATACATGATGGAGGTAACAACTGTTATTCATATTTGCTGACTCATAACTCATTTCCCCGCAACTGGGATGTGAATAGCATCACAAAACATAAAAATATATATTGTTCTCACAAAAATACCTGTATCTATCAAAAATAACCTACATAATATTACTTAAACAATGTATCAGTGTAATGGCCTGTGTAAAGTCAGCTGACTATTTTATTTGTGATAGGTGATCATGTAGCCTCCTCCCTCTCCCCTTTTAAAATATACAAGTGTCTCTGATAACCCTACCTGCCCTAGATTTTAGCATTTACCTTATTCTTTTATTTTTATAAAATTCAAATAATCAATGTTTGAAACTCCATCTTTAACCCTTATAAAATTATTTTGTCAAATAAAACCTACTGTATCATTTTCATAGCTGTAACCAAATAATTATTGTGTCTGGCCTGATTGTAGATAGTTATATACTATACCAACTATGTTCTATAACAAGCACTTCAGCCGATAGTTCCATTTATGTACATATATATTTCAAGCTAAGTAAATGTACTTGACAGTCACAGAATTCCCTGAATTTCTAAATTTGAGAAAAATTGAAATACAAGTCAGATGAAATAATCTGTCAAACATGTAAATTCTGACATAAAACTAAGCACACATCTTATAGTAGTGTGATACTGGTGAGGTAATGTCTAATGATGTACTGTACCTGTACTTTTCTTACCTGTGCAGTTCTTTGTCAGATGAAATGCGTACCTGTCTGAACCCTTATCTATAGGGACATGTACAATCTATAGGCCTGATGTGTTTCAGCGGGGACGGATTACTCACAGAAGCGGATACATGTACAGCTAACTTTATATATACATTGTACATGTATATATATTTTCCCTTCCCTGCTACAGTCTGCAGTCAAATTTTAAGTTGTTGACAAAACTCCCATTTTCACTGTAAATGTGAATTATCTGGAGTAGAATTTACTTTATTCTTAAAGTTAACAAGTAAGAAAATTGTCACACCTGCATTCTGGCTGCAGTGTAGGGAAAATGCAACAAAAACTGTAGGTGTTTAGCTTCAAGAGGTTATCTCGAGGTAAAGACAAATCCTATGCCTAATATAGTTCTTTTCTTTTCTAATGTAAATTGACTGATCACACTCCAGATTTCTGCTATGCAGAATCTGATACCTGCATCATCCTGGCTTGCATAACAGTTTTAGAAAACCATACTAAACCTAATAAGCACACCAACAGGTAAGAATTCATATATAGATAATCCTTTTCTTGTCACAGCATTCACGTACCATTTCTTTATTGTCATATATTGTTTTATTAAAAACGGTTTCAATTATGTCTACTTTTTTGACATTTTTTTATCAGATTATGAAATTGAAAATAAAACATGCATTCTTAATAGCTCAAAATGTTTTCCTTTATACCGGTGGTCTATTTTAGGAATACACAACACACATGATCATCAAGCATTTGGACAAGGTAATCTATATATGGTAGTATATATAGCGGCTAAAAAAGATAGGTGTGAATGTATGGCAGTTAGAAAAGCTAACCAGCAGGAGTGCTGTGAGGTTTTTAGATTCAACAAGCTAACTTATTGATGCAAATCAAAAGTCTTGCATGCTTTAATTTTTGGTAAGTTGGATAAAATTAGGCAGTGATGCATCTATTACAAAAACTAGTTACATCTCACAAAATCAAATTTATCTGTATACATATTCTGAATGTACACCTTTGCATCCTGAAACAAAATCATTAGAGGTATATTTTCATTGATGATCTATTATCTATAAAGTTTAATATCTGTTAAGAAATTGAGCGATGTCAAAGATTTTCTATAAATAGTAACAGTGACCTTGACACCCTGATCATTTAAAGCATTATCATGCTTGATTGTTATATGTTTGTTCAAAATCAGAAATAAAGCTGATACAGTTAGGACAAAGATTTTCTATATATAGTAACAATGACCCAGACACCCTGAAACATACACCAAGGTATTGCAATACTTATCAAACATTGTAAGTAGAGTGGTAGTACATGTACAGCCACTTCAATCCTAGCAACATGAAGTGGTGAAACACAAATAACGATCAAGAAGATCACCATTTGACTTACATGTAGTTGAATTTTGAATATATTGATGGTGTATTGAAGTTCTGTCAATGGGCTAAATATGTCCAAATTTATATACCGATATACAAATAATACATCACAGAAAACTTTAAGAACATGTGTTTTTGTTTAATGGAACTTACGTAAGCAAAATAAGTAATACAGCTTGATAATAACTGCACTGTTATGTTAACATTATTTATATATAAACAACCCTTCACACAGTTACACACACAAATGGTATGACATTTGGCTACTGAAGTCCAACAGAGTTACTTACGTTGCACAAGTATTTCACTTCTTAAACACAAGTTAACTATGCATGTTATTCCAAATGATTCATGATTAAAATAGTATTTGGGTTCAAATTTAATGCTTCATTGAAAAGTTTAATAATTTACATGTCCTAAACACTTGTTTTTTATATAGCAAATGACAGTCTATGAATTTCGATATATATTAAAATGGCAGTTATACAGATTTACATTTAATTGTAAATATACCGGGTAAATAGCTTTGTTTAGGGTTTACATAGGTGTGTCGTCATTGTACTTGTGATAATGGTGATATGGTAATTGTAGATATACCGGGTAAATAACTTTGTTTAGGGTTTACATAGGTGTGTTGTCATTGTACATGTGATAATGGTGATATGGTAATTGCAGATATACCGGGTAAATAACTTTGTTTAGGGTTTACATAGGTGTGTTGTCATTGTACATGGGATAATGGTGATATGGTAATTGTAGATATACCGGGTAAATAACTTTGTTTAGGGTTTACATAGGTGTGTCGTCATTGTACATGTGATTATGGTGATATGGTAATTGTATTACACAGGTGTTACCCAACATGTTGGAATGTAAATGTACATATTATACATTATCTGATGCGTGTATATGTTGATAACACATGTGTGTTGGTGGGTAAACAGTTGATGACTAGGATGATAATTTACCTTATAACATCATTATTGCACAAGTACTGACTAAGCTGTCGAAGTGTGAACGTATGTGTGAATTGGCGGTGCTCATCATGATGATGATGGTTGTAAATGTGAGGATGTGATAGGGTGTGGTAATTTTAGATTTCATGTATCGATTAAAACCTTTTTTGCAGAATAAACAATTAAAAACAACCTACAGAATATAAAGAATTGGAACACTATGCCTTAGTCTACAGGTCTTTTGAGGGCAATGAATTTTTCGACAAAATTTGGCAACATTGCTAATGTAAAATAGTGCTTTTTTTTCCAAAATCTCTTCCAAATCCCCAAACCCTGACAGATTCGTCTTATATTCAAATGACATTACAATAGGCCAATATCTAACATAAAAATTAATAGAATATATTTTGATACCTACTCTTTCCTTTTTGGCATGTCCCTAAGCATATTGTGCAACTTCAATATATTTTTATAATATTTTGAAAATGTAGATGAGGTATGTGTCATACTAAATTGTCAAAGATGTGCATTGATTAGGTTGCCTTACAAGCGTCAGCTGTAGGGAATTTCCCTTTAGCTCAGCGGTATAGCATCGGGCTAGAGAGCCAAGGCTTGTGGGTTCAAGCCCCAGTGATGGCACTATCTTAATCACTTTCTTCGTCCTATTACACTATATTCGGTCCAGGTACAGACTTTCTAGTTTGGTGGCATCAGCACGCGCAAAGATATAATACTGAGTAACCCTTTACCACTTTGGTAATTTTTTTTGTTCAGAGACTTACATGATTGTGAAATGAAGCTGAGAAGCTGGTCAGTGCTAAGTTGACACTATCATACACTGATGTGAACTGAAATTGGCATAGGTATATAGATACAGTAAAGCTGTCAACAGGAGCCCCTCCATGACTTCACACTTTCGTGAACAAACACATTTGTTTGTTTGAGTGATTTTACATCTGCTTCACTACAGAGTAGTCTGAATATCCAGCAGACGAGACGAACACAATTTCTTTTTTCAAAAGTAGGATCTGTGGACTGACAGGTGTATTTTGTCCTCTGTAGTCATTACAAAATTTGTTTATCATTGTGTTATATTCATTTCAGAGCAAATACGTTTCACCTGAATTTGATAAGAAAATTGGTCCAAGAAATTTATAGGGAAAAAAACATTCTAGTATTACTTTATTCTGATACTTAGCTTGTAAACAGATAACACACAAGGGGAGGGAATCAAAATCAGGAAGTGGACTTTCATAAGAAAATAGCATAACTTCAGTTTTGACCGGTCTTAAGTGTACAATACACACGGCTTTGCATTTTCATACACAATAATCTTATGACTAAACACAAGAAATTAAAGTCATTCACGTTCTTGAATATGCGAATTTCCAATCAGCTGATCGGAGCCATTTTTCGATCTCAAATAATTTTCTTGCGAATTTTCTTTGAAAGATGTTCAGCTACTGATACCGGTTTGTCATGCATACATTTATAGATACGTCAAACTGAAGTTTTATTATTTCAAATATAATTACCCTTCTCCGCCACAACAGGCTTGAATGAATCCAGATTGGGCCGAGGGTCACTGTTACTTCTTTGTCGGTTGTACTCAATGTTTGTCTCCACTGTCTCTGTTTTGGTGGCCATGTTCGGCAATACCCATTTTTGGTTTACTTCCGGTTTGAGTTTGAAAAATAAAATAAAAATTAATAAAAGTATTGAATACTGTTTTTGGTTCAAAGTAATAATTTGAGATAATATTGTTTAAATTATTGTCACTGACAATGTTTAATTCCCTATCTTGGTGACTCACGAATCTAATCGGGTTGTGTTACTAAAAATAGCATAAAAATATGTCAATAACCCGTGACTTGTGACGTCAAGACACGGGATAGACATCCTGAAATACACAGATTTCACCTGAAGAGAGCATTCTCATCCGATCGCCGAGGTTACACACTAGGCCTACTAAGGATTATTTTGGTAAGTTTAATATGTTTTAGGCCTTGTAATGTTCTGAATGGCATATACTTTACGTGTAATTACAGCGAGAAAATATTAATAAACAGGTAGTGTATTTCATCTAGGTCCTAGGATACACAAGTGTTTCAACACCTGTCAAAGGACAGCACATTCGATCAGAATTCACATTTAACGTTTTAGATGTGGGGAACTACGTTTATGTTAATTTGTTAACGTCAATGGAGTGTATATTATTCTGTAAATAGTGTATTTGACATGAATCGTGTATAATTTTCCAAAATTAGATCTGGACTCAAAAGTAATTTCTCTATTAGGCCTACATTCAGTAGTGACTCCATTTCCTGGAACACAATATTCAGAATTTTCACTTTTGAAGTCCAATATAAAATGTTCTACACCAGAGGTTTTATGTATGATCACCGAAATCACCACATGTCTTTATATCCTTATATATCTTTTCATATTTAATTATTAATTCTGTTCATCAAACAAAGCTGAAGTGATTTCTTCTTCATTTGATTCAAAATGGCAAAGTGACCAGATGAGGTCATATTGGTTTTCCCATCATATCAGTAGCAAATAGGTCCTTGATGTCCAGACATTTTGTTTAATCAATTTTGACCCTATAAGTCTATATATATATGGGACAGAGGAATTGACATATTACCAATACCTTTCAAAACACTTCAAAGACCATTTCCAGTTGAGTTAAATACTTAATTGTCAGGAAGATTTTTCAAGGCTGCATGTCAGGTCATCTAGAAATAGACATTTCATTCAAGCATACCTCGTCATTCATGATTTTCACTGCATTTGTCATGTCGAAATGGACACGATTTCATATATCCAGCTGACACCACATTTATGACACAGCTCTACATATTACCCTTAGGCTAATCAATGTCCTACTCGATTGTGAAATAACCTACATACTGACTGGCTTGTTTGTTTGTATGTACCATTAATTTCTTAAATCAAATGGGACTTACCTCATTTAAGCAGGCTGATGATAAATTATAAAAACTTTAATTTGTGAGTTGTATGAATATTGTCACATTTTTTACTTGTTTATCATCTTACTATGATTATTATACTTACCATATTTGACTTAATTGATAAAGCCTCAGACAATTTTTTTTAACTTAACCATTTACAGTACGTCATAGCCCACTCACAACTAAAGATTGTAATTGTTAACTAGCAGATAATGTTCCATGGCTATATAGCTTTTGTTTTTGGTTCAATATGTGTATCTGACTTGATACAGTGCCGTTTCAGTGGCTGAAATTGTCTGACTGCCAAAACCAACCAAAAGACTGCCAAAAATTGTATCGTGTACAATCCAGAATGTAAAAAAAATAATATATATAATAAGAATTCAAGTTATTCTTCTAAGCTCCCTTTGAGTACCCTTATCAAGCATTGTAATAATTATCGTATTTAAAAGTGGAAACACTAAAATAAAAATATCTATACTTTAAATGAATGTGTTTATAATTAAATTTACATACCGGTATATTTATTTCAGATGCATCTATTTTTAATTATAAAGTGACAGGAAGCACAATAATGTGAAAGCACACACTGTTTGTTTGATAAGACTAGTACTAGTATTTAATTTCACTGGATAAAACACTTAAACTATAAAGCTATAAATAATGATCCCCTAAAACTCCTACCAAATGATTTCCTGCACATGTATGATATCCTGTGTACAGAATATCTTGTATATATTTGTATCAGCCATGTGATTCAGAGGTGTCATGTTATAAACCAATGTACGTAGGCATAACCAAATCAGTATTTGATAAATTTATGCTCAACACATTACCATCTATGCTTTAATTGGCCATTGATGAGCTTATATGAGCTTTGGTTCAAGAAAAACTTGGTGTGAAACATACACGAAGGCTTTATAACTGCAGGTGTAAAATGTTCATACTCTATAACGAAATACATACACCTGTCTTTCTAGTGTATATATATATATATGCCAACATACACTTTTTTTACCCATATTGAAATGGGGTCTCATGACCATGATCAGCAGTACCCATCACATGATGGTGAACATTTCATAAGGTAACAATGAACAGCAATGCTGTAAATACAGGGGTGTATATAGCACTTGTTGGGGGTGGATTTATCTAGAAGGTCCAGGGCAGGTCCTTGTTATAGGGGGACAATGGGGTGCCCAAGCAGTGTTTTTGTTTTGTTTTTTTTACATGTTTTTTTTTTTATGGATTCACCTGCCTACCAGTGTAAAGGCATCTACACACCTGTAATGTGTATTATGAAATATTTCACATGTTTGTTACTTATCGGAGAGAAGATGCTAGGTTTTGTATGACAATCCCCTACTTTTCAATTTGTAAATGCTTGTAGTTAGTATTACCATTAGACCTGCATGTGTTTGATATTTTTGTGATAATGTTTAATCTGTAATACTGTATCATTGTCGAAATTAAGTGTGAGCTTTAGTCATTAAAGTGTACATGTGTGAACCTTGATCAACCTATCACCGATCAGGAATATACTCCCAGGCACCCAATCCCTAACCCTTGGTGTATACTCCCCAACACCCAATCCCTAACCCTTGGTGTATACTCCCAGGCACCCAATCCCTAACCCTTGGTGTATACTCCCAGGCACCCAATCCCTAACCCTTGGTGTATACTCCCAGGCACCCAATCCCTAACCCTTGGTGTATACTCCCAGGCACCCAATCCCTAACCCTTGGTGTATACTCCCAGGCACCCAATCCCTAACCCTTGGTGTATACTCCCAGGCACCCAATCCCTAACCCTTGGTGTATACTCCCAGGCACCCAATCCCTAACCCTTGGTGTATACTCCCAGGCACCCAATCCCTAACCCTTGGTGTATACTCCCAGGCACCCAATCCCTAACCCTTGGTGTATACTCCCAGGCACCCAATCCCTAACCCTTGGTGTATACTCCCAGGCACCCAATCCCTAACCCTTGGTGTATACTCCCAGGCACCCAATCCCTAACCCTTGGTGTATACTCCCAGGCACCCAATCCCTAACCCTTGGTGTATACTCCCAGGCACCCAATCCCTAACCCTTGGTGTATACTCCCAGGCACCCAATCCCTAACCCTTGGTGTATACTCCCAGGCACCCAATCCCTAACCCTTGGTGTATACTCCCAGGCACCCAATCCCTAACCCTTGGTGTATACTCCCAGGCACCCAATCCCTAACCCTTGGTGTATACTCCCAGGCACCCAATCCCTAACCCTTGGTGTATACTCCCAGGCACCCAATCCCTAACCCTTGGTGTATACTCCCAGGCACCCAATCCCTAACCCTTGGTGTATACTCCCAGGCACCCAATCCCTAACCCTTGGTGTATACTCCCAGGCACCCAATCCCTAACCCTTGGTGTATACTCCCAGGCACCCAATCCCTAACCCTTGGTGTATACTCCCAGGCACCCAATCCCTAACCCTTGGTGTATACTCCCAGGCACCCAATCCCTAACCCTTGGTGTATACTCCCAGGCACCCAATCCCTAACCCTTGGTGTATACTCCCAGGCACCCAATCCCTAACCCTTGGTGTATACTCCCAGGCACCCAATCCCTAACCCTTGGTGTATACTCCCAGGCACCCAATCCCTAACCCTTGGTGTATACTCCCAGGCACCCAATCCCTAACCCTTGGTGTATACTCCCAGGCACCCAATCCCTAACCCTTGGTGTATACTCCCAGGCACCCAATCCCTAACCCTTGGTGTATACTCCCAGGCACCCAATCCCTAACCCTTGGTGTATACTCCCAGGCACCCAATCCCTAACCCTTGGTGTATACTCCCAGGCACCCAATCCCTAACCCTTGGTGTATACTCCCAGGCACCCAATCCCTAACCCTTGGTGTATACTCCCCGGCACCCAATCCCTAACCCTTGGTGTATACTCCCCGGCACCCAATCCCTAACCCTTGGTGTATACTCCCAGGCACCCAATCCCTAACCCTTGGTGTATACTCCCCGACACCCAATCCCTAACCCTTGTGTATACTCCCAGGCACCCAATCCCTAACCCTTGGTGTATAATTATGTTTCACAGTATTTTCTATTGTTCCTTCATGATCATTAAAACAAATGTCAGTGATTTCATTAAAATATATATTGTTATGTAGAGTTTTGAGGCCTAATAGATACTATATCAGTTAGTAGCTGATAACTAGCTGATACAATCAGCATAGGTACATGTATTGATAAGGTGTCAGTGCTCTGTAATAGTTGTATGGACTGTTCAAGCTCCTATCTATTCAGGGTGACTTGAGATCAGCAACAGGGTGACTTCATATTTCAACCCAGACATCTATAAACAACACACTGGCTCTAACACCTTTCATTGTAGAATTTGTATTACACATTAGGGCCGGTATCTGGTACTATTTACGGAATGAAAATAGATTGTGTACTGACTGGAATGCAGCTCATCTCAAGAAAATATTTTTATGAAACAACCTTCAACCAGTTTGATAAAATGCAGATGAAATGAAAAGAGTTTGAGATTCTTTTTATCTTAATCTCAACCAAAGCTTATTCAGCAAAAATCCAAGGAATGTATCACCACCAGTTTTGCTATTGTCATGACATTTTGACGTCATTGTATTGTGTTTACGGTGACATCACAGTGGGTGATATTACACAATGTTGTACATCTATTAGTGGTAATGTTATAATTACACTGTGTATATGTGTGGTGAACTGGTCTATGAGCTATGATTAGTCAGGGGGTGCTTTGTAGTTATAGTGTACGTACACAAGACATGTTTGCATGGTCAGGATTTTGTGTTACCCATAGTATGACGATTACTTGGACACAACTTACGTACATGTGACTTCTATTTTAAGGGTGACCACATCAGACAGGTGATCTGTTGTTTCTCGGCTACGTCATGTTTCTCCTGTATCTGGAAACCATCTTCTATGTGATGGAGTTATTAAGACTGATACTATTGCTCTTAATTTGTCACAAAGATTTCTTGATCGATCATGTTTACTTCTGCGCAAACAAATATACATTCATATATGTTACTCACAATCTTACCATGATTCATACTACTGAGCACAATCAGCACATATACACAGGATGGAAGCCCAATAGACACAGAAATAATTCAATGCTCATACATATATATCATTCATTATGAAGAATCACTTTCAAAAAACATTCTTAATTCCAGTGCTATTCTTTTTGTTATACAATTTACAGTGACATTTCAATACTATAGCAAATTATCAAAACTGCTTGACAAACAACTTCAAAGAGATGTTATCCTATGTCTTTGTCTTCAATTTCAATCCACTAGAAAGGATTATTTTGTGTGCTGGACCTGACTGATATCCTATATTCAATGTTTGTATTTATATAGCTGCTGCTACAGATGAATTTCAATACTTACCCGGTACTGGCATTGTTTTGTTTAATGTTTTGTCCTTTTTATTTTTCAGATTTTTATATTCACCTACAACAAAGAAATAAACATGTCTCTGTACCCAACATTAGAAGATATGAAGGTCGACCACATGGCCCAGGTATGTAAAGAGGAAATGAATGTGGCAAGAAAGTACTTAAAATGACCAATTCATAAAATAATAGTGTATAATCCTTACTTTCTATGCGATGGATTAATCAAATTTAGCAAAAAGTAAAATGTGATTTTGAGAGTCAAAAAGGTGGGAGAAAACCAATTCCTTTGGAGGGCAGCGTCCTGAAGCTCAGAAACCACCACTAGATTTGCAACTGCATACAATAATTGTGTTGTTTATAACAGGCCCAGATGCAGCATGAGGCAGCCAGTCAAGGTCACACCCAGCCACAGGTGACCTACCCCCAACAGCAGCAGCCACCACTAGTGTACCCCCAACAGGGGGCAGGTGGAAGCATGTACCCCTCCCTACAGGGTGAATACATGGGTATGCAGCTTACCCCCCAGGCGTACCAGCAGTACCAGCTTGTACCACAAGTAAGTACAGAATGAGATTCGTCAGTTTGGTATAAATGATAAATGCATTTAGTAAGTATATAGACTGCTGTCAGACTGCCCGATGACCTTCACCTGTTTGAAATGTTCATTTATTTGGTTGATCACATTGAATACAAGATAAGCAGATTATGTCAAGGGGGTTACTCCTCAATCATCTAATAGTACTGGAAGTCTGGAGACAAGAGTGTGGAACAGATCCCCACCCCACAGTCCATATATATGTATTTTGTATTTACATACTTGGTGAATATGAACCATAGGGTCGGGATCGATGCTTTGCTCCTGTGGTCTGATAAAAGATATACCGGGTATTAGAAATATTTTGAGTTAAGAAAAAAATCTTTACCAAAGCATGAAGAGTGACAAATTTGAGAAAAATTCTTTAAGAAATATTTTAGTTAGAGAAAAATATACAAGTTATTATTCTGTCAACAAAAGATCTTTATCGTAAACATGTGTAGTCACAGATTGTGTGTATGTGTTTCAGCAACCTATGGCAGTGGGTGTAAGACAGACAAGTGGAGGACAGACACAGGTTGCTCCCATCACAGGCAACAACAAAGGAGTCCAGCGGGCCGAGATCAAACAGGGCATCAGACAAGTAATAGCATGTAAGGATGCTGACAACAAGATTGGGCTCCGACTACGACATGTCAACAAGGTAAGCAAACATAGATATATACCAAACAGGGCATCAGACAAGTAATAGCATGTAAGAATGCTGACAACAAGATTGGGCTCCGACTACGACATGTCAACAAGGTAAACAAACACATAGATATATACCAATGGTTTGTTTGCTGTTTTATACTTTATGATAACATACTGATTCCCCTAAGGACTTGAGAAAAATGTCCAGAAAGATAAATTGTTTCATGTCTACTGATATATTAAAATTAAAATCTTACTGAAGACTTGCATCTGGGCTGTGTTAGAGTTTGTTAGCTCAATGATATGTTAATTGCAATTTTAGAAAAGCATATGAAGAAATATAAGTGTGTTTTTTTTAATGGTCTGAAGATGATCATTATGAACCCCTGGACACAGAAGTTTTGTTTTCAGTAATTAGTTTGAAAGTATCATGTGACACAAAAAATGATGAAGATTGATAAGACCAAGCACTGAACATATCTGCATGTAGTATTTAAAGTCTCCTACTGGAATACTTACAATTTTACTCACAATTTTAGCTAATATTTCTTTACTACTTTGGTGTCAAAAAGTTCCAACTATTTTTAAGAGAAGTGTGTTTTCTATCACTACCATGTCTTATATCTTTACTTTGGCTGTTTCAGGGTCTTTTTGTGGCACTTGTACAGGACAACAGTCCGGCTTCCCTAGCAGGCCTCCGCTTTGGGGACCAGATCCTCCAGATAGACGACAAGGATGTTGCTGGTTGGGACACGGATAAGGCCCACAAGGTCCTGAAGAATGCCTCAGCGGACAGGATTGTGTTCGCTGTTAGAGACAGGTACATACAGATTACCTACATCACAACATAATCCAATTATTTGTTGTATAAATATCTCTGAGATAAATTGTTGTTTGACCCAATGTACAATTTTGTATGTTTTCAGTTTATCTGTTTTTAACAAACTGAATGTTATTTCTCATTAATACATATTCATAATGCCCTTCCAAAGTAATGGAAGGAGCTTTCAGGCCAAATACAAGATGTTGTTTGTTTCCGGTTACACTACCTACCCTTATTTTTTATGCCTATCCTTAACTTTTTTGGACAAATCAAGTAAGTACTGTAGAGTCAAAATCACTCTTTAAATATCAAAATAGGAAAAATAAAATTTATTACCTGCCTACTACCCCAATATTTTTAGACATGTAATAGGAAACTAACATGTTTTCTTGTTTGGCCTAAGAGTTTACATCCCATTAATTGTAATTCTAGAAGTTCAACTGTCATCAAACTTCATATGCTGATATATCTTAAAGAGTATTACACCATTATATCAAATGTAGGTCACTGTAACCTACATTTTCCACTTTTCTGACTTTGGCTGGATTTTACATTTAGTTCCATTCTTTGGTTATATGTTGTGTTAGTTACATTTACATCAAAGCAAAAGTGAGGACATATGGATGTTTAGCAAAAATATTCTAGCTTTGATTTGAATGTCATGAAATAATTTCTTTAATTTTCATCTTGTAGACCATTCGAGAGGACCATCTCGATGCAGAAAGACAGCAATGGCTACATTGGGTTTGTCTTCAAGGATGGAAAGATTAAGTCTCTGGTAAAGGATTCCTCAGCAGCAAGGAACGGTGTCCTCATAGAACACCAGCTTATAGAGGTCAATGGCCAGAACGTGGTCGGACTCAAGGTCAGTCCTGTTTAAACGCAATATACACTAAGAGTTTAACTGATCTTCAGAGTACTAGAAACAAAACTCTCAGAGAATCTCTGTATTACCAATATTTTTCTGAATAACAGTACCTTGCAAATGTTTTTCCGACTCATTTGACTAGTTCATGCAAGTGTTTGTAAAGATAATGGGAGATGAACAGAAAGGTGGTAGTCACAAGTTCTATGTTGACTAACTCCCTTGTTGCATATTTAAACATCCATTGTATGTTCCATTACACTAAACATTGCTTTTGTTGGTGAAACCTGTGTCATCAGCCTGACTTAATGAGATTTCTTTCATTTACAGGATGACAAAACTGGGGAGATCTTTGATGCTGCTGGCAGGACAGTTACCATTACAATCATGCCAACCTTCATCTACGATCACATTGTTAAATGGTAGGTGGAGCTGCTGTTGAAATGATTACAATTGTTCTGGTTTGAGGAAAATAGTAATGTATATCCCATTCTAATTCATTTGAGATTGATCTTTCCATTCTCAAAATCAGACATATATTAATATTAACTTCATTTCATTCCACATTAAGTTGCATGACATAACATACAAAGTACAGAGGAATGGGATCCGGAAACAAGTTGAAATAACTTATATAAATCCATTTCCGAGATATTAAGGTCATTGGAGTGTATTGATAAACGGAAACAGGAAGTACATCCCTAGTTGAAAATCCAATGTAGGGAGACAGTATCACAAGTTCCGCAAATTCTAATGTTTAATATTAAACTGATTAATATTGTATGTTTATTATTGACAGAACAGTGTGTTCTCTCAATATTAAAGTATTTCAAAGCAATCCAGGTATTAATTCAGGTTTTTTTATCAATGAGTCACATGTGTCCATTTTTCTGTACTTCAGGAAACCGGCTACCTATTTCACTTCTGTGAAGTTTTTCAAGAACGATAACTCTTGCCTGCAATTACTATGTGTATATGGTTTTATTTTAAAATGTCAATTTGTATATCGTGTATAGAAAAATTAATTTTACACAATTTCAGCATTTATTAAATTGATACACATTAATGCAATACTGATATATGTCAGTATCATTTTTATTGACATTATTTTGTAAAAATATTGTGTCTTTCATTTTTTTTTTCAAAATTCACTCCTTTTTACATAAATTTCCATTTAAAATTCTTAAAATTCTGACAACCTATATTTTTTTTGTGGCAGAATTTTTTCTTTACTTTAAAGCAATATACTACAAAATTTGAAGAAATTCTACTGAGAAATGGTGACACAATCCTATTACCTTAACATATATTAAGGCCTATATATCCTCAAAACTTTAATTGAGATAGTTAAATATTTATGACTTTTATGTAAATAAGCAATTGACATGAAACAGTGAATGAACTGCAGAAAACTCTAGATTATTGGACTGAAAATTATGAAATTCAAAAACATTTTAGAGCATTGTTTGAGTATCAAACCTTTTGTAATAACAGGGCCTGTTACTTATGAAAGTCAATGTTTAATAACATCAGGCTTACACCGTTCTTTACTGATAATTGTTTTTGTTTTTGCAGCATGGGTAACAGTATAATCAAGAAGCTGATGGACCACTCCATCCCAGATGTGTAAACAGTACAGCAGCAAAGTGAAAAAGACTTCTGTTACTAAAACTGTACATTACGTGGTGGTGAGTCTGTGGCCTGGGGGAGGAGACACTCTGACCCTACATGTCTCAGGCCATTACCAACCCTCCTTGTGGTCTTGGCTGTCCGACCAAAACAAGGAATCATTACATTCATCACATATTACTATGTGACTCTCGCATTTGTCTCCAGCTTTCTTTAGAGGACTTTGTACAGCTTGTGTGTTGTTGTACTCATTTTTCGTGTGTTTACCATGTTTGATCACTCTCTAATTTTCCTAGATGTACTGGTGGAAGAGAATGATACCCTGTAGAATACATTGGACAAAAATAATAAAAATGTGCGTTTCTGCTTTCCACCTTAATACCCTAAATTGCTGTTTATATAAACACTATAAAATTCTAAAATGATGCCTTTGTCTAATTTTTGCAAAATTGTAAAAAAAAAAAAAAGGTTTTATCAAACTACCCAAATTTATTGAGATCCGAAAGCAGAAATGGAAGGTTTTTTGTTTGTCTTACCAAGTATGTCTTATCCTTATATTTCTCATTCATTGTATTTCACTGTTGAGTTCTAGGAATATTGATTATTTTGATTAAGGATGTTGCACATTTAATTAATTATAGCAAGAAGGAGCATCTTCTTTGAATTGAAGCTTGGAAAGTAGGATTGTAGTCAGAGACTGAAAGTAGGATATGATGAGCTACAGAAAGGGATTGAGGCTGAAAAAAAGGATATGATGAGCGACAGAAAGGGATTGAGTCTGAAAAAAGGATATGATGAGCGACAGAAAGGGATTGATCAGGGACACAAATGGATGTGTTTAGTTACAGAAGGAAGTATGTTAGTATTGGAAAGGTCAGTTAAAGCTTCATGGGTCGACAGTTTAAGTCTGTGTATGAGAGAATGTAGTGGATATCATAGTTTATACTTTCCCATAATAACTGCTTTTATTAAAAATTGGACTTTTTATGTGACCATACTGTACATGCATGCTAATGGTAGGAAAGAACAACCTATAGGAGATCTTAAGCAAAAAATAATCTGTGTTTCTGCTTTTCATTGTCAATTCCAGATTTGGTTCTTGCCATAACTTTGTTCACTGATTTGAAAAAAAGGTCTGAAACGCTGTCTGTATACAACCTTTGTTAAGATATTTTGAAAAGTATCAAGTTTTGCTTACCAACGTTCCACAATCTTTTGAGAGCAAAAGTTGAAACACAACATGTAACTATCTGTATGTGGCCATACCAAGGAGGTGAAACTACTACAACTGTCCTGTGTTTTATGTATATAGTGTAGAAACCAGTTTTTATCGTGTAATTACTATTAATTATCACTAAATTATATTTATTTTTGTTGAAGTTTGAAGGCTCTCATGGTAGTGCTAGTCTATCACAATTTCATTAATCTATTTTAGTTAAAATTACTTATGCCTGTTCAAGGGCTGTTAATACAGAATGTATGATGTACTAGAATCTATTTTCTGCTTTATTACTTGACCTGTTGTAGATTAAGAATAGCAAAGTTCTTTCTTTGGCAGAAGACCATTTTATATGAAGGTTTGTAAGTTTTATTTAGAATAGAGATGAGGGCTCAGTTTTTCAATTAATACCTGATTGGCTTATTCACAACATAAATCTTTCATCTAAATTATATGTAAAAAAAAAAGTTTCAAGAATAAATTGCATGTGTGTACAGGGATTCAGAATGATTGTCTGATTATGAATAAGACACTAACTAGCTGTAAATTTTCATATCACTTTCAAACAGCACACGACCTAACCAGACTCCAGACATCCAGGCCCTGATCTAAAGTTGTTTTCTGTGAAAGCCCTTTGTTCAACTTTTATTTTCACACAACTCTACAAAGTTGTTAAATAATTTGTTAATTATAAAGATATGTATATCATTACTATTAAAATATGTGTTAGTTTTATAAAGGTTTTCATAATTCTTTTCTTACTTATGATAAAACTGTTATCCTTGTATTGTTATTTCATTGTTTTCATTGTTAACTGAACACCAGATTAAGTGATTTGCTTAATATTTTCATTTGAATTTCTGTGTAAAAAATACAACAGAATATGCACCAAAGCAAATACAGTTTATTTTGCAAATTAATATCTGCTGTGCAAAAATGAAGTTGGGCAGATTAGTGATAGAAAACCAAAAGTAGTTCGATAATTTATCATTGTGGTTCTATGTCAAGCCATTTTATCTGGGAATGTGTACAATGGAACCTGTGTATAATGACATCAGTGAGGAGTATTTGGTCGGATAAGAGAGGTGTTAGGAGTAAGAGTTAAGGACAGAGACAACTAGTTTTGTGGGGCTCAGAAAAGTATGCCTTGTGTTTGCAGCTCATACACCAGAAAAGAACAATGCTAATATTATCTTTGTCATTCGTATGCATCTATATCCAGACAGATTTTCATTTTTTATGTAAATGATAAGAAATTTCAGCTTTCCCACAACATGTGTATCGAAAATAACAGAAATTCATATTTGAAAATCAACTCTCATTACAGTACAAAAATAATAATCTAATGCATAAGGCCATCCCATCTTCCATCAGTGGCTTTCAGTGATTACATACCGGTACTGATGTTTGATTTAGGTCTCATCTGTTACCTTCCATTTAACCTTGTCTATCTAGGGTTAGAATTGACAAGTTTTACGGATCATCAATTTTGTTTGCCCTACTTCACTACCTGTAGTCACAGATATTTTGTCACAGTCCATGATTTTCTCACGAAATTGCAACTACATTATTTTTCCATTTGGTTTCTACCAGTTAGTGTTTCTTTGAAATATTCTGAAGACAGATACAATGCACTCACTAACTCCTTTTGTCATCGAACCCAACATAGGATGGAATTCACTGGATACGGAGATAATCTGGTTTGACATAGTTCTTCTGCATATATTGTGATCTGATATGATTATGGATGTATTTTCTTATTTGATAATAAAATAAAATGTTGAAAACTTACTTAAAGACTTCTTTTTATCTATGACTAAGAGAGAATTGTAATAAATTCTAACCTGTGTTTCATATCAAAGCTTGAAGCACAGGATAGATTTGCCCTGTACAGCCCGACTTTCCAGTCAGAATGAGTTCTTTTGTGTTGGGCTAGAAAGACATAATTGTTAAATCAATAGAAACTTTTCCAGAAAGTTTCCTTTCAAATTTTTGAAAAAATTATGAAAACAAAAGGTGAAACTAATTTTATCTTTATTTTCAACTAGGGGTTAATTCCGACAGACCTGTTGATTATTAAGCCCACCGTCATACAATGGAGGGCTGCAAAATTAAAATTGCTTTTTGTTCATGGCTCAGCATCTGTTCATAAATACCATCAGCTATTTCTCAGAAACAACTTACAAGATCATGATTAAACTTGATACACATGATCCCAGTGGACTGGTCTATAGCTGTGCATACTCCAATATTTGAGAAGGATTAGAAAAGTAAAATGGCTGTCTGCATGTAGACAGACATCTTAGATTTTGCATGTCAAGTTTGCTTCCAAAATTCGTCAGGAATTACAGAAGGATGCTATGCATACCTGTTCATGATCTATCACCTTAAGCCCTAGTTGTGCCCAATTCAGAAAATCAAAATGGCCACCAGATCATATCTTGGATTTTATTGTTTACACTACTTCAGTGGGACTATACAGAGGGGATCAAGAAGAAACATGGTAAACATGATCCACTAGTCGTGCCTGTCAACTTTTTGATTTGTAATCTAGTCCACTTGTCAGATTTAGACAGTAATCCATTTGGCGAATTCAAATGATGTATTAATTCAGATTCTTAATACAAACTTCAGTACCTATATGTTGGCCTTGAGTTTTATTTCCTACTGAAAACCCCAAATTACTATTTCCCTTTATCAACTTTAGTAAACTTTAGCTCCCCGGGGGATGGAGAATGGATGACGCAGTGATAATAAAATTTACAATTTTGATGAAACACAAAGCTTTCTATCTATGTAAAGTATTTGACCCTGCGATTTCTTGATCTGAAGAAGATTTTTGACATATTTGTCAACTATTACTCCTTTTGGCCCACTCCTAGGATCCATGGGTTATTTGTCAACTATTACTCCTTTTGGCCCACTCCTAGGATCCATGGGTTATTTGAAGCAATGTATGTGTTACAATTTCAGTTTAGGCCTTACATGCTTTCAGCATTTTTTGTTTTTAAATCGGTGCACTAGTTTTTGAAAAGTCATGTCATTTGTTTACAGATACACGTCAATGAACGAAAGACAGTCACAATAGGTCATATGGAACATTATATTTCTTGAAATCATCATAAACATAATTTTAAAATCTAGGTAGGTCTAGGTCATATTAATTACCAGTATATTTATCACTGGTATAGGACAGTAATGTTTAGCTCACCTGCCCAAGGGGTTGTGAGCTTATGCCATGGTGCAGTGTCTGTCGTCCGGCGTCCATCGTCCATCAACTTTTCCTTTAAATGACTTCTTCTGAAGAATGGACAGGCTTTCAGTCATGATTTTTCTGTGATTGGTAAGAGCCCAACAAAGTTTACGAAAATGACCTTGACCTACTTTCAAGGTCACAGAGATCAAAAGTATCAAATACTTAAAACGTTGGTAAGAGCCCAACAAAGTTTGAGAACGGAAATGATCTTGACCTACTTCCAAGGTCACAGGGGTAAAAAGTGTCAAACACTTAAAACGACATCTTTTGAAGAACTAACAGGTATAGAATCTTAATGTATGGCTAGCAGCTTTGTTGGTAAGAGCCCAACAAAGTTTGAGAGCGAAAATGACCCTGAACTACTATCATGGTCACAGCTAGGGGTAAAACGTGTCAAATGCTTAAAACAACCTCTTCTGAAGAACTGAAAAGTAAAGAATCTTATAATATGTCTAGTAGCTTTGTTGGTAAGAGCCCAACAAAGTTTGAGAACGAGAATGACCCTGACCTGATTTCAAGGTCACAGGCGTAAAAAGTGTCAAATACTTCAAACAACTTCTTTTGAAGAAGCGAAAGGTATGGAATCTTAATATGTGGCTGGTTGCTTCTTGGGATAGAGCCCAACGAAATGTGCGAATGAAAATGACCTCAACCTACTTTCAAGGTCACAGGGGTCAAATATGTCAAACACTTTAAACAACTTCTTCTGAAGAACTGAAAGGTTCAGAATCTTAATATTTGGCTGGTGGCTTCTTGGAATGGAGCCTGACAAAGTTTGAGATGAAAATGACCTTGACCTTTTATCACAGGGTCAACTATGTCAAAAAATTACAACGACTTCTTCTGAAGAACTAATAGATATACAATTATTAAATTTGGCTGGTAGCTTCCAGACACGAAGCCTAACATAGTTTGCGAGTTAAATTGACCTTAACCTACTTTCAAGGTCACAGGGGTCAAATATGTCAAACTTATCAAACGACTTTTTCTGAATAATTGAAATGCATAAAATAAAAGTATTTGGCTGATTGCTTCTTGGGATTGAGCCCGACAATGTTTGCGAAAGAAAATGACCTCAACCTACTTTCAAGGTCACCGGGGCCAAATATGTCAAACATTTCAAATGACTTCTTTAAATAATCTAAAGGCATAAAATTATATATTATTCATTATTCATTCTGTTGTGTGTGGCTAACGTGTCTCTTTCCCTTTGGTTCAAGCTGAAGAATCTCACCTCTAGGGTTGACATTATATAATTATAATACTCTGGCACAGAACCTCTCTGTAGAGGACAATTGTTTTCTCCCATCCAGCTATCATTAACATTTTCCCAAACATTGATTTACCAGTACTTGTAATGTTTTCTTTCTGATTTACACATATTCTCTACTGTCAAAAGCTGCTTGTGATGTCAGTTTTTATTGTTTCTGTGTCACATTATTTCTTTTGACCTCATACCATTTGGTTAATCATTATGATGCATACCTGAATCAGGTTCAACCCCCGCCCTCACCCACTCCCCACTATGTATACGACCTTGAATCTTCTTTATCCAGGGATGCTTTACATCTAATGAGGTTGGAATTCCTTCATCAACACTTCAGAAGTGAGTGACACAAGACGGACATCTTCAGGCGAGATGAAGCTGGCAGGTAACACCACCATCATTTACTCCAAAGTCATTCGGAGAAAACCTGTTTTCCCAGTAGGTTCCACTCCTTTGCTCCCTATCATTCTTTTATCCTAAGACAAACTTCCATGATAAAGTCAATACCATAGTCCAGCAAATGTTATCTGGCCCAAATATTACGAATGTTATCTGGCCCAAATATTATAAATGTTATCCGGCCCAAACATTACAAATGTTATCTGGCCCAAATATTACAAATGTTATCTGGCCCAAATATTACAAATGTTCCTTAAATGAAGGAAATTCTTCAAATTAAGATTTTTCATAGGCAAGAAATATTGGAGTTCAAGAAAATCTCGAGCAAAGAATTTATTCCTAAACTTAATTGTTATTGTTTTGTTTCCTATTTGAAATAATCATAACTTATGGAAAATTTGTGAAACTGGAGCCTTGAACGCTCCTGTTCAGAATGAGTCTGAAATTCAACGGTGATCTTTTATTAAAAGAAATCTGAAAATACCATTGTCTGAAGCCGAGGTATGATGGCTTCTAATTTATAACGTCAATTCTTTTCAAGATATCTCCATACAATTTGGTCTACATTTTACAGACAAATACTAGCAAGAAAACACAATCTAGATATATTATACCCCTCTTTTCACTTGTCACCTCACTTGCAGCCCAACAGTACTTTTAATACTTCAAAGGTTCCCTTTTCCTAAACATGTCTTTTATATAACTCCCTTGATGTATCACACATCCTTTTTATAATGCTAAACTGTGGTGGCAGTAAAACGAAGTTATAATCAACACAAACACAACACAACTGTATTAAATGATAAGTCAAATCTCTTAATATTCATGGTTGAATGTTTTTATTGATGACATAAATGAAATATGAGCAATATTTGTCAATGGTTATTTAGCAGCAGTGGGAAATAATTACACCTAGGACAAGAATATATGGAAATCACTGATTTAGAGCTATCAAAAGGGTTAGTCCGAATTATTCTGACGTTTTATTTATATATCGGTCTGTCGTCGATTAACCGATATCAAAAAAATCGATAAAATGTCAGAATAATTCGGACTATCAAAGAGTGACTATCAAAGAGTGACCCCCTAATTTTCTGTATACTGTCATAATCAAATTTGCGGTGCCTAAGCCCACAGCTAAAATGCTGAAACAAAAAGTAATTTTATATGCTTTTGTCCATATCTGTTACTCGGTATTAAGGAGAGTTGCCTCCCCTATGTCTGGATTCAAACACAGCTAATTGGTTAGTCAACAAAGACATAAAAGACATATCTAATCAGCGTAAAGGTTATGAAGGACTACCAAGTAGAAAAAGCATAAAAGAAGTTTTGAGGAATTGTGTAATCTGTTTCATTTAAAGAGACAAATATGAGGGTCACAATTTGTCAGCTCTAAACTATATTTTATTTCCAACAAAAGGGTCCTCAGTCCAATGTTTTTTTTATATGATCAGGCCCTGTTTATAACAATAGATGCTCAGTAAGAAGTAAAAGGTTCAAGGTCTATGCCCTCAGTCCTTTTACATGTATATCTCACTGACCCTCTACAGTTCTCAAGACGGCCAGTAAAGGACTCTATAACTTGTAGTATCACTCACAGATCATTCATGGGCTGTGATCAAACTTTCTACAGGCATTTCTGCCAAATCTACCTATTTTGAAACTGGGTCAGGAGACCATCCCTACTATGCAATCCTCTCACTAAAGATATCACAATGTTTTCATTCATATAAAACAGTTGAATGCACAGTTATATTTAAGAGACCATCTCTTGAGACAAATTTTGAGCCTTTATTTGGGCGAGCTCTTAAACTAGTTTTGTTTGATAGTGAATGAAGAGTTTTAATCCTGTAGACTGTTCTGAGTAATCTCTCTTGAACAGCACATGAATGTGAGTGAGTGACTTGTACTCCCTGGTCAGGGGATTACTAAGGGACCTTGTGTACAAAATAACACACAATACTAAGAAGCAGTAAGCATGAAGATGTATAAATAAACAGGTGCTACAAATTATATCAACACTTTTGTCTTAATGGATTAAGAAGATTTATATATACAATTGAAAAAAACATACAATCACACCATACGCACACGAATCATTGAACTTCGTACTCCACATTCCCAGTGTTAAACAGTGTGGTAAGGAAATAACCTGGAATATCCTGTTTGATACAAAAGGAATAGGTCACCTCTGACAAAGAATCATCTTCTTGTGCTGAATATATTGCTTACCTGTAGTTTGGGGATTATGTAAGGTAAATATGGTATACACTATATTTTTGTGCTTTGTGTCATCAGTAAAATAAAATATTTTAAAAAAAATCCACAATGTTAGTTTTTATTGTTTCAAACAAAACATATCCTCTTCTTTCTTTTGGAGAAACAAAAATTAATAAAAAGAATGGATATGCCTTAACTACAAATAATCGCTTTCAAATAGAATACATGACATTGCTTTTTTCCCCCCACTTTTCTTGCTCTTGAGATGTCAACTGAATTTATAAGCAGTACTACGGAAAGATAATAAGAGATTTAAAATCTAATCTCCACAAGCTGGTCACAGGTGACACTACTAACATCACCTGAATGTTTGCCAGACATAGGAATGTATTAAGTTAAGATCAAGCATGCATAAAACATTGACATATCTTTATAAAGTATAAAAGTCTGAGATGTTTTTTAACCTTATTAACAACACATACAACATATTTCTTACTTGTTTTTTTCAAACTACAGGATTTCTAGGATCACCAGGTAACATCAGATGAAACTGAACAACTCTATACAAGTACAGAAGTATCATTTTTACACAAAAAAAGAACCCCAGACAAATGGTGTGTACTAAGACTTGTGTGTATACCACTACAGGCTGCTGTACTTTAGGTGCATCACTACCTGCAAATGTATTTTATGATGAATCTATGATGTGTCCTAATCCTCTACCTCTTATCAATTCTGTTACCTTCTACATATTTCATATATCCTTTTTATTGTAACAATGCATTCATATGTCTCGCTCGAATTATCACCGAACCCTTTTAAAATGACAAAAGTTTACAGGTGGCAATATAATGAGATTATACAAACCTGTTTTTTTAATATTTGACATTGTACATTATGATAAGACTAAAAAAAATACAAAATCTGTTAAATACATGTAATTAAATGTACTAGCAATGTGCCTTTTAAGCAGAAGTCACGTGACATTAATTTGATTAGGAACAACGTACACACCACCTAACTACAGGTGTGAATATTCCTCACACCTGACTTGGATTAAACGACATGGAAAATAACATTGTATAAGGATAACAGTATAAGAACAGTAAGGTTACAAATATATGTAGTATAGGTTATATAGTTTTTGACATTGTTCGTATGCTGTGTATTAGTCTGTTTATAATCATTCTATTTCTAAAACAACACATAAACATGAAAGGCAATATATACATTATATATACACAAAGAATGAATTATGCACTAAAACATATATATATAAAAAATGTAAAATGATACAAAAATATGCACTTAATTATTTTACAATATTAAAAAAAATCCTTTGGTCCACTTATAGGTAATCAAGTATAGTACTGTATAATCAATGATAATAAAACTATTTTTTTAAGCCAATCACCTCGGAGTTTTACCTTGACCTTGTCAAACATTTTAATCTCATACTGACTTCTACATATCACTCAGGCTTAGGTTTCACCTTAAACCAATCAATGATTTAGAATTTCAGTGATCAACCAGAAGCAATTTCAGATTACTCAGTTGACGCAAAATTCAAGGTAAATAAATTTCTAAAACTTCAGCTAAGTACCTCCACAAGGGGCAGGACAATTGGCACAGAATTATGTGTGTTATCGCAGAAAACAAAAAAGGCACCGAACTGAAATCAAACTTTTGCAATTTATAAATCCAGAGCACCTTAATATTGAGTACATGACCATAGTGACATGAGGCAACTTCTTACAATCAAACCTTCAGAAAAAGTCTTGGTCACTTTAAAGTTTGCTGCCATCAGCAGTTAGACACAGTAGGCTTTCTAATGTAATATTTTGGAAACTGCTTACTTATCTTTTTGTCAAGACTGTTTGGTACTTAATCACTACAGGAAGCATTCTGTAAATGTTGTTCACACATGTTTGGTGAATACATTACATTATAATGAAAATAACTTTGAGGACTATATGTATGAGGAAATCTTGTGTTATCATAAATTTCCAAGTAGACAAAACATCCTTGTGATCAAGACTACCAAACCAGCACTGAGATTGATACATCAAGTTTCTAACACTGTGAACTACATCCTGAATTTACCATAATGGAAGCCTAAGTTACCCTTTCCTACCCTTCTCTATCAATAAATTAAGCCTCTTTTGTTCATTGATTCGAACAAATTTCATGTTGGTCATCAGAAAAAGTCGGTCACTCTTCATGGGTTTGTTTAAGTATATACAGAAATAAGAAAAATATCAAAGAATTAATCATGCACATGTAATCAAATATTGCATGAACTGCTATGTTAACCATTATATATCCTCATAAATTATCATAAATCATTGTTTATGTGTTTATATCAAATAGTAACAAATTTGTTTCATGAATTGAAGCAATATCAATAGTGAAGGATGTCTATCTAAACATACACTAATAGTAAAATGAATGACACTTGTATTGCTTTATCTTAAAGCTTGAATGTCACTCAATGTTTCATACCGAAGTTCTATATAATACTTATCTGATCCTACTAGATGGATGGAGTTTGACACTTGAAGCATGGAAGTGATAGCCTAGCCATGATCCCTCCACCTACGAAGCCGGTTCAGATACCTGAACTTCAAGTTAAGTCACGCAAGAATCTCACAATCCTAACACATTGTACACCTATTTTGGCACACCTGTATTGCCGCACCTGTATTTGGAATGTTTTATCACCTTTTACACATGGATTCAAAATTATTCAAATCTGCCTCATATTCATCCATGTGCATGTACAATTTATCATAATTGTCCAGCTGAAGATTTTTTTTTTTCAAATGTAAAAATTCATTTCCAGTCAATCTCAAGTTCTTTATTTACAATTTAATAGAAAATTCATGAAAAGAATTCTTTGATTTTCTCAACTGCAGATTCACAGCCTGATCCAGGTGTTTTATCGTCAATCACTCTCAAGGTCAAGCTTTCAGCTGACCATCTTTTATTGCTATCAGTGTCAATAATTGTCTTGTATTTCTGAACGATTGTCCTTGTAAGTTGTCTGCCCACCATGGACTGGAATCTATAGCCACATACAAACTTGTTTATTACCTCCCTTCCCATGGTTGGGCATATTTAACTACCGAACTCTGGCCATCATTAGAATTCGTCCGACTCCTTGTAGTTTGGTTCAGTGGATACAAAGTAATCGTCAAAGAAATTGTAGAGGTACTCAAAAGTTGGTCTGTTTTGTGAAACCTTATCCCAGCATTTCTTCATGATTTCATACATGGACTCCGGGCAGTTGCGTGGCTTGGCCATCCTGTATCCTCGTTCTACCTGCTCTAGGACTTCTCGATTAGGCATTCCTGGTAGAAGATAGCAGAAATAAACACTAAGCTGTAAATCAGTATCAATACGTCCTTATATCAACACAGCAATTCAAACAATTCAAGTAAAATTATTTTGTGTTCATGCTCATGCATAACCATACAATTATGTATTTAAAAATAAATGTGTGAATTTTGTTCCATTCACATGTTTCCATGTTAACTTTTACAAAATGTCTAAGATAATAAATCCATGATAACAAAATCTAAAACAAACTTATATCAAAACCGTCCTCTGAATGATACCCCAGCATGTATTGCTGTAGGTATGATACCTACCTGGATATGGGACCTGGCCGTGTGTCACTATCTCAACCAGGAGGATGCCGTATGACCAGACATCTGACTTGATTGTAAACCGCCCAAACAAAGCTGCCTCTGGAGCAGTCCACTTGATTGGGAACTTCGCACCTGTTGGGAGATTTAATTTTTTTTAACAGTTACAACTTGTTTATCCTGCCTCAGTTAATCTGTGAATTTACAATCTAGACACATCTGCTTAGGTACGGATTTCCTCAACAGCAACTGTATCAGTAAACTAGGAATTCTGGATCTGGAAGTTTTTTAAGGGAAAGAGGATCACATTACATATATTCCGTCTTTTCGTATTGCCGAGTTATCTGCTCTTGTGAGCAGGTATTGATTGTTACTTCATTAGTTTGTGTGAGAAAATTACGTTGTTTTCTCAAAAATGTATGACGTTTCTCTCACAAACAAATAACGTAACAATCAATACCTGCTCACAAGAGCAGATAACAAAATACGAAAAGACGGAATACCTGGCCAAAAGGTTTTGTATATATAAAGCATGAAATTTCACAGACAAAGCTCTATGACCATGTAGTAACCTATGACTCACTGTCACAGTAAAACCTGTGTAATCTGACACCCTTTGGGATCCAACATATTGTTCATATTAGACAAAATGTTAGACAAGAGACCAAGAGGGCCTGTGTCGCTCACCTGGATATCTAACCAATCATGGCAAAATATTCTCCTAATGAGATCCAAGGGAATATGCCAGACCCCAAGACCAATCCTTGTAGCATATCTGTATTAGATTTTTCATGGCCAGCAATTTAATGTATGGTTTTGGGGTGGGGATCTCAACTGCTTCCAAGCTGTGACTCAGAAACTAGGTCCCTAGGGTTGTGGCCAGACCCCAGGATCAATTATAATATCATGACTGCATTTGTCTCTTTATGCCCAGCATTTGTATATATAGTTTTGGGGTGGGGATCTCAACCATTTCTAAATTATGACCCAGGGACTATGTCTTCAAGGGTGGGGCCAAACCCTAGGGCCATCCTGGAAGCAAATGTGCATTCTTCTCTTTATACTCAGCAATTGTATATATGGTTATACGGTAGTGATCTCAACCATTTCCAAGTAATAAACTTTTTTGGGCCCCACCCCTTAGCCGGGGGGTTAGCCCCACCATTTGTACAATTTTGAATCCCTTCCTCCAATGAATGCTTCCAACCAAATATAATTGATATCCAGTGCATAGTTCTACAGAAGAAGTCGTTGGTAGCAANGCTTTTGGGCCTGCCTCTTAGCTCGCCCCCTGGGGGGGTCAGCCCCACCGTTTGTACAATTTTGAATCACCACCACCTAGGATGCTTCCAGTCATATGGTTGATATTTGTCCCTTAGTTCCAGGGAAGAAGTCGCTTAAAGCAATATAGCCAAATAACCCTTTTTGGCCCCCCCCCCTCAGCCCCCTGGGGGTTAAGCCCCATCAGTTTGCAACTTTGAATCCCTGCCTCCCATGAATGCTTTTGATCAAATATGATTGATAACCAGTGCATAGTTCTACAGAAGAAGTCGTTTGTAGCAATATAGCCAAATTGCCCCCTTTTGGCCCCGCCCCTCAGCCCCACCATTTGTACAATTTTGAATCCCCAAAAAATTTAGTTGAATTCCAATCAGTGGTTAAGAAGAAGAAGCTGTATAAAGAAATTGTTGACATACGGACGACGGACGGACGACACGGTATCGCATAAGCTCACCTTGGTCCTTCGGACAAGGTGAGCTAAATATACTGGTCTTTTTTAATAGCTTTCATCAGAAATAAAACAACACATTGTGTTGTATCAGGTAGGACGTCAGAGGTCAGTTTAGACAGGTTTCACTGTATAGTCGCACACAATCACCCTTGTTTGTGATGACTGGACCATAATAACTCCGTAACTATGGCTACAATGAGTGACCTAACTCACAGTTCATACAGACTTTTCAGGACAAAATTCAAGCATTTTTCAACTACTTTCAGTCACTATTTTGCCATATTTTCGACTAAGGGTTGGGATTTTTTTTTTTTTTTTTTTTTTTAAATTATTTTGAAATCACAACAAATTACCACAACACAAATTTGAAAACAGTTTGCATAGAAAAGAAAACATGTTGTCTCTGGTATGTATTTCAGCATTTTTCAATGAGCATTGAGCAAATGTTAGCCGTTTCCTTGATATACTTGTTTTTCACCATTATTCAAGCAGTGACCACAATTCTATCTGTGCACTTTTATGGCCTGTATGCTGCATGTCACTTTTGACACCAAACTCATAGAGGATATATCAAATGATCTTTTTGGAGGTTCTAAAGCCCAATATATTAAAGCTAATACTGTTGTCATGTGACAGCCAGTGAACCTACCATGTTTAGGGTTGTACTCGTCATCCTCTATAATTTTAGCCAATCCAAAATCAGCTACCTTGGCAACATTGTTGTCACCAATCAAAATGTTCCTGGCTGCCAAGTCTCGATGGATGAATTTCCTTTCTTCTAAAAATGACATTCCACTGGCTATCTGTAATTCAAACATCAGTTGAAAGGGTCATAAGTGTTACTTGAAAATATCTTGGAAATCTGTGTGAACTCTTTAATTCAATCATTCATCTATTCTGCTACAAATTATATCAACTATTTGTCAATTACATTGCCATGACGTACACTTTTACGCTGTTAATGAAATGTAAATTGTTGCCAAGTTGTAACTGCAGTTAGGATAAAGCATTTGCTGAAAGGCAGACACCAGACCAGTTTTAGCTGAGCTAAAGATGTAAATATTAATAAATGTCTGATGCTGGACCAGTTTTAGCTGAGCTAAAGATGTTAATATTAATAAATGTCTGACGCTGGACCGGTTTTAGCTGAGCTAAAGATATAAATATTAATAAATGTCTTGTCGCTACACCAGTTTCACCTGTGCTAAAGATGTAAATATTAATAAATGTTTTAAAGCATTGGATTAGTTTATGAATGACATACAGTAGATTAGCTTTACCTGTGCTGAGATGTCAACCAGCTGGGGAAACTTGATGAGCTGTCTCTCGTCCTCTCGTAGGTAGTCGAGCAGACTGCCGTTAGACATGAGCTCGGTGACAATGTAGATTGGCTCCACATCTGAGCAGACGGCATACAGACGCACCAGTTTGTCATGTTTGCATTGCTTCATGATGTGAGCCTCGGCCAGGAAGGCACTTGGTGTCATGGCACCTTCTTTCAGAGTCTTTATAGCTACCTCTGTTGTCTTGTTCCAGGTCCCTACAAGTGTATAAGAAAGGTAAGCTTCGCCCTACTATAGGCAAACAGTTTATATATACATACCTAACAGTCGCAATTGACACATCACATGGGCTGTTATTAGACCAAAGTTTATAAATTATAGTATCATTTTACTACTGAATTCAGCAATGTCCCCTAAAACATCCTTCTAATTATTTGGATGAATTTCCTGTCAACAATACACTGTAGTATGAAATATTTGATACAGAGTTTTGTCAAATTAGGCCATTCCAAATTTATCCAATTCCTACTTACCTGTTCTTATTTCCTATGAAGCTTTCCAAAACTCTGATTTCTATTAACTTCACATTTTTTTTTATCAACCTCTCTAAATCTCTAAGAATCAGTTTACAAACCTTTCCAAACTTCTCCGAACTGTCCTGCGCCCAGCTTCTTTGTAAACTCCAATGCGTCTCTACCAATTTCCCAGGCATCTTTAGTTTCACGGGATAGGTCATCCATAACCGGTTTAGGTTTCGAACATGATTTTGTGAGCATCCGACACAGTCCATCTGGTCCTTCTGCAAATGTATAAATGTCCCATACAATGAATTAGCACGAAAATATCCACAAATGTCCACAAACATATATTTATAGATTATATAGATTAAAGGTATATAGAGAATATATATATATATATGGGTCAAAGAAGTAATATAGACGGTACAATCCCATATAACACTGGATCCTAATGGAGGTATGTCCGTAGGATACTAATTACTTAAAATATTATATGGGGCAAAGAAGTAATTCCAACAGTGTGGACAAGTTTAGGTTGTCAAATTTTCGGAGCGATCCGTTCCTTTTTCAAGACACAGTGAAACAGAACAGTTACATGTACATATACATCATATTACAAGAAGATAGAATTGATATACTATAATTGAAAATATAGCTATTATATAAAACCAATAGTCCCCTCGGCTAAAGACAGCCGAAGGCAGCAATTAAGCTGAGAGCATCGCGGACAAGGAACGCTGATGTAGAGGACCTATTCTTGCGCAAGATGCACAGTCATATAAAGTGGTATTAATCTCATACCTGTAATATTAAAAGTGGACTAAAATACAACTACAGGCAGAATATCAGTGTTTGATTCATAAGAACCTATTAAAAGATTTAAACCTAATTATGACGCCCGTGACCTTGAATGTCGAACAAAGACATTAGGTTGAACAGCTTCTAACAAATATCATTACCCTTGACCTTTTGATTATACAGAACAAATCATTTTTTTAAATAAAGATTTAAACATACATTGACCACTGTGACCTTGAATATGGGCGAAGGTCATTCATTTGAACAAACTTGGTAGCCCTTCATCCCAGCATAGTAATGGCCAAATATCATCTCCTTGGCCTTTTGATTATTAAGTAGAAGTCGTTCAAAGGTTTTAAACATATTTGACCCCTGTGACCTTGAATATATGTCAAGGGCATTTATTTGAACAAACTTGGTAGTCCTTCATCCGGGAATGTTACTGGCCAAATTTAAGCACCTTAGGCCTTTGGGTTAATTTATTCATAAAAAGCAGTTTAAAGGTTTTAAACATATTTGACCTCTGTGACCTTGAACATAAATCAAGGCCATTTATTTGAACAAACTTGGTAGCCCTTCATCCCAGCATGTTACTGCCCAAATATCATCACCCTATGCCTCTTGGTTATTCAGAAGAAGTTGTTTAAAGATTTTAACATATTTGACCCCTGTGACCTTGAAAATGGATGAAGGTAATTTATTTGAACAAATTTGGTAGCCCTTCATCCCAGCATGCTTCTGGACAAATATCATCATCCTAGACCTTTTGGTTATTGAGAAGAGGTTGTTTAAAGTAAAAAGTTGACGCTGGACGCCGCACCATGCCATAAGCTCACTTGGCCCTTTGGGCCAGGTGAGCTAATAAAATGAACACAAAATTTTAAACATGCAATAAGACCTCAGTTTGAAAATGAGGTCATATAGAAATGCAAATAAAAAACCCTGCATTCTTCTTTACTCTTTGATGAAAGTAATGATGGGTCTGAATCCTTATTAATTTGAATCTTCTTCAACAACAATCAATCTGTACAAACGGAATTCTTCAAGAAGTCAAGAAGTATGACCCTTGGTCTAGCGTAATCAGGTTTGCAAGTGATAATTAGTTCTACTTCTTCAGAGGAAATGATGAAAGTGGCTAAAAAGATGTGTGCCTCCTCCAATTAGGTTAGTGCATCTCCCAATTAGCCTTTTTAAATAAAGTTCATGTATGTATATTAAACAACAAAGCATCACAAGTGATACAAATCCCATCGCATTCACACATTGTGACATATGTAAGAGGAAATAAAGTCGCTAGAGCGATGACAAAGTTTTTCTAAACATAGCAAAAATTGCCTTGACCTTTAACGCAGTAACCTGAAAGGCGAACCTGTTCAAGATATTGCCATACAAAACACTTGAATGAAGTTTCATGAAATTCTGTTGAGGAATGAATTCGCTAAAGCGATGACAAAGAGTGTAACATACGGGCAGAATCATATATCCCCTCAAACTTTTGTTGCGAGGGGATAGAAATGAGAGTGAGAAACATACTGAATACATCATGTATTTATAATAGGTAGTGTTAGTGTGTTTGATAACTTGTCACCAAAGGTAAACATTCAGCAGGAACATCTCACTATATATTCTTGTCCTAGTCAGTCTCACTAAAAAGTCTTATTCATTCACATCATGAAGACAGAAGTCAGTCTCATCATAAAGTTAATCGTTTTAGGTCTTGTCAATCTGACATGTCTTAGTACCTGTGTGGTATTTACCTGAGTAATGGCTTATAAGCTCCGGTAGACTTTCCAGCACCCTTCGTGCTGCTATGTAGTAGCCTTTGTTTTCATCCATGTTGCGGATCTTGTAGTGTTTGACTGTGTCCCCTTTGGTGGCCTCATGGTCATGTACAGACAGCACATAGTTCCCTGTAACAAATCATAGGAATTTACCTGTAGTCACACCGATCACCCTCATACACAGATTTACCTGTAGCCACACCGATCATCCTCATACACAGATTTACCTGTAGTCACACTGATCATCCTCATACACAGATTTACCTGTAGTCACACTGATCACCCTCATACACAGATTTACCTGTAGTCACACTGATCATCCTCAAATACAGATTTACCTGTAGTCACACTGATCATCCTCATACACAGATTTACCTGTAGTTACACTGATCATCCTCAAACACAGATTTACCTGTAGTCACACTGATCATCCTCAAATACAGATTTACCTGTAGCCACACTGATCATCCTTAAACACAGATTTACCTGTAGTCACTCTGATCCTCCTCAAACATAGATTTACCTGTAGTCACACTGATCATCCTCAAACACAGATTTAATTGTAGTCACACTGATCCTCCTCAAACACAGATTTACCTGTAGTCACACTGATCATCCTCAAACATAGACATTTACCTGAAGCCACACTGATCATCCTCAAACAAAGACATTTACCTGAAGCCACACTGATCATCCTCAGACATAGAAAATTACCCGAAGCTTCACTGATCATCCTCAAACAAACATAGGAATTTACCTTAAGCCACACCGATCATCCTCAAACATAGAAATTTACCTGAAGCCATACTGATCATCCTCAAACATAGAAATTTACCTGAAGCCACACCGATCATCCTCAAGCATAGAGATTCACCTGTAGCCACACTGATCATCCTCAAACATAGAAATTTACCTGAAGCCATACTGATCATCCTCAAACATAGAAATTTACCTGAAGCCACACTGATTATCCCCTTACATAGATTTTTACCTGTAGTCACACTGATCATCCTCTTACATATATTTTCACCTGTAGCCATATAATGATAATCAAACAGAGATATACCTGTAGGCACTCTGATTCACCTGTAAGGAGACTTACCTGGGCTAGTTTCACTTTCTCTAATTAAGAAGAAGCCAGGTTCAGTTCCATGCCCCAGAAGGAGTCGTTCACTCTCCTTTCTGGACAGACTACCCATGAACCACCTGGAAGGAATTATTAAAAATACAGATACCAGTCAGTTTTAAAGTTTACCTACTCATTGGCATCAAACAAACACACACCAAAATACATCGATAATTTAGGTAAGTAATTGTCTGAAATACACCTACCAATCAGAATCATAGAGCTATCCTGACCTTATCTTAATATTCAAAGATTCTGCTTATTCTCAAACTGCTTATCCTCCAACTCTATCTGAGTATTCCCGTTATAAAACTGCCTAAACTTAGTACCTTACAGAGCGAGTGAGAAAGTTCTGCATGTTAATCAAATATTTAATGATTCTCCTCATCTTCAAATTTATTGAAAAAAGTGAGGAATAAAAATTGTTTTACCAAATTTGATCTCAGTAATTGAAAATTCCCCTTGATTTTTTTCAAACTCAACATTTGACAAGTCTTATTTTTCAAATACGTATCGAGGTCAGTGAAAGACTGATGAATTATTTTTTTGAAATAAGCTACTTACTCATAGGCATCCAATGTGTCTTCCTTCGCCACATAGTTACGAGGTATATAACCTTCCTGGTTACTACATTTAGAATCTGAGTGCTTCGCTAGCCACCAGTCAGCATCACTGTAATGTATAAGATGTGTAATCAAATTAACTGCATATTATTTTATATATTTATGAAACAGGGCAAAGTATTGCAATAAATCTTTGCCTCTCACAAAACAAATTCTGGTATAAAACAAGCCATATGGATTGACATGTCTCACCTGTGCCCCGCTTTGACCATCAATGCACATATCAGAGAAACTAACTTTAACACAAAAACTTAGGTAGGCCGCATCCAGAATTTGATGCATGTGTTGAGATGTACTATCTAAGATGCATGTATGGTTTAAGTTTGGTTGGTCTAGCACTTATACTTTCAGTGAAACTAACACAAAAACTTCATGTTGACCCTGCCGTCGCCGGAAAAAAACACCTAAGTCTTACTTTGTGGCGGCGAGACAAAAATGAACAAAGGGCCATAACACTGAACAAAGTCAGTGACAAGACATTATTTCAGTATGCAACACTCTGCCTCCTAAGAGGTACTTGCATACAAATTCTGGCAATTCTAAGGTGAAAGCCCCCGTACAATGTCAGGAACATTGAACGAAGGGTCACAAATCTGTTAAAATCGGGACAAAAGACACAAGTTCAGCATGCAGGATGCTTATTCACTTACAAAATTTGGCAACTGTAGATAAGAGATATAAGAGACATGCCGTGGAGAAAGGGATACACAGACAGATTGATAGACAGATGGACAGACCGACCTATAGTCCCATCTGGTAGTACACGTAGGGTAGTCGAGTGGTAAATACATGTACTGTATTATATTTTCACTCATCCAAGGGAAAGGCTGGACACAGTAACAAAAAGGTCCCAAGTTTATGGTGGGGACACAGTAACAAAAAGGTCCGAAGTTTATGGTGGTTCAGTATGCATTATGTACTGAATGTTTTCACTTAATTATTTTTGTGATATTCCAAATGATCAAAGAAAAAGGATTTTCAAAATGAACCATACATCTTGACAACATTAGCCCAATACTGAGTGTACAGCTCATTATGCTTACTGCTGTGTACATGCATATTCCAAAAAATAAAACAGAAACTAACTGTTCAATATGTTATACATTTTTGGGAATTATACAATATATATACTTCCTGGTTACCACTAACTGTGTACAGAGTTCAAAGTAATGAGGAAGATATATATAATGGAGAGAAAAACAGGAAAACGCTACTTCATATGTACATGTACAACTCTCTACTCCCACCTCAGCCTCATCATGAATAGAACTTCATACTCAAATTCATCCTCCTCTTCACTCCTACATCTCCGTCTCATATCGAGTAAATTCACTCTTTATTAAAATCTCCATTTTATAACTCTCAATATAATCAAAATGTCAATACAAATGATACTGAAACAGCCACTGTTTAAGTGTTAGTCACGACGAGACAGATGAGCTTAATTAAAAGTCGGAGGAGAGTGTCTCAATGTATAATTACCTGTCATCTATCAGGAACAATAGTTCACCCTTCTTGAAGCTCAGATCGTCCTCTGCACGGGCATCATAGTCATACAAGGCTCGAAGCTGTCCCTTATGGGCTACAAAATAACAAACATTAAGTCTTTTTTAAAGATTAGAACACAACATTTTTTCTTTTCATATTTTATGTTAAAATAAAGGCTTCCACAGCACAAATTAAAAGCACGAAGACAAACTCTACTTTTCAACTTTCCTCCCTTCTTCATAAAAGATAAAGTAGCTGTAAGTTTTTATAGCTTAGAGTTACTTCCCCTTACAATATATTCCTCTTTCATTTTGATACTGTGCACTAACAAAACATTTTATAGCAATATTTGTAACGTGTAGGATTGGTACTGATCAATAGGTCTTGAGTTTGATCTCTGGTGGTAATATAAAACAGGATCAGTTATATGCTGTGAATGCTGTCATTGGAATCAAGCACTCACAAAACCAAGATGCATAGCACAATCGCTGATATTAAATTCAAAATAAATTGTACATTATGACTTTTTTTGTTCATGAAATGAGTCCAATGACGAAGGCAAGTGATTTCATGTAAATTATAAGTTAGCAGCATATCAGGATATAGCGACTGGTGTAACAAATATGGCATAGTAAGGAATTAAATGAAATAACTGATCTGACCAGTGATTATGATGTAAACACAAAAACCAACTTTATATCATTGCATACTGAAGTTAATTCATTATTGAAATTCATTGAACTTAATTGAGCATAGAATGTTGTTGTTTGAAGAAGATTTGTTTGAATCAATCAGATTAAATGAAAACACAGCACAGCTTTTAACAGCTCATAGATAAAATTGGAGATTACAAGTGAATTTTCACACAATAGCACAGACTCTTTTGGAAAGAAAAGTAAAATATAATTATTCTTTAAAAGTGGTAAAGCGCATTGATCTTTAATAAACTGTTTGTTGTGACATCACATGTACCTTCACACACTTGTATAATAAAAATTAGTAATTTCACGTTAAAACTAATGTTATCACTATTTCCTGATTTCAGTTTTTTCACAGAATCCTTGATTGAACAGTATTTACTGTACAATAATGAACTCTTCCTGGTTTATGAAATCATGAATGCAAATTCTATTCATCGATATGCTCCAGTACACACACATAAACAAGCTATGAAATTCCCACGTTCATACTTTGCAAAGAAACATCTTTAAAAAGACGACATAAACTCACTGAAGTTTCAATAAATGTCTTGAATCAGTAGGTAGTGATGTACATTTCAGTAGGGACAAATTATGATTCCTTCATAATGCTTTGTGTAATATGCCATTCGTCAGCGCAGAAAAATATTATAGCCATTCACTTGTATCATATGGCTCAAATCCTTGTACATTGTTGAAATTGTCATATATGAGTTTCATCTATGTATAGAGTATATATATGCACATGAAAAAAGATAAACAAAGTAAATATGATATTGATTTAACAAAAGTGTCATGACATAAGGACTTTCAGCAAACCCTTAAGAGTAGGTTATTGTCTCCCAAAAATCATCTTTAATTCTCAAGTTTAAAAGTCTCTACATGTTTGCCATGTGCTTTGATTATTAAAATTCCACAAAAAATGTTATTTGTTTTCTGAAATTGTCAGGGGTCAACTGGAAGCCCTAGACATGGTTCTGTAATATATAAGGACCATATATAACACGACCAGGTAGTTTGAATTGATCACCTTTGAGACTTGACAACAGTACTATTCTCTATATATGATAGGAATCTAATCAAATGAATACTGGCATGTAATAAAACAGGCCTATAATTTATAACTCTGGTTACTTTAAAAACAAAACTTGACAACCATGTTTTTTCTATTCCATATAATACATCTGTATCAGTTCACAATCTCAAATAAATTCTGGAAGTTTTCATGTTCTTTTTTCAAAATGTCTAACATTATAGAAATTTTCTAGTACCTGACTAACTGTAATTACGAAATCAAAGGATATTCAGGCACTCAACAGTACAACATGGACCTGAATTTACATTACAAGAAAGAGAGGCTCCAAGAGAAATAGGACTGTGAGGGGTTCTCACAGAAGTAGGACTGTGAGGGGTTCTCACAGAAGTAGGACTGGGGAGGGGTTCTCACAGAAGTAGGACTGGGAGGGGTTCTCACAGAAGTAGGACTGGGAAGGGTTCTCACAGAAGTAGGACTGGGAGGAGTTCTCACAGAAGTAGGACTGGGAGGGGTTCTCACAGAAGTAGGACTGGGAGGGGTTCTCACAGAAGTAGGACTGGGAGGGGTTCTCACAGAAGTAGGACTGGGAGGGGTTCTCACAGAAGTAGGACTGGGAGGGGTTCTCACAGAAGTAGGACTGGGAGGGGTTCTCACAGAAGTAGGACTGGGAGGGGTTCTCACAGAAGTAGGACTGGGAGGGGTTCTCACAGAAGTAGGACTGGGAGGGGTTCTCACAGAAGTAGGACTGGGAGGAGTTCTCACAGAAGTAGGACTGGGAGGGGTTCTCACAGAAGTAGGACTGGGAGGGGTTCTCACAGAAGTAGGACTGGGAGGGGTTCTCACAGAAGTAGGACTGGGAGGGGTTCTCACAGAAGTAGGACTGGGAGGAGTTCTCACAGAAGTAGGACTGGGAGGAGTTCTCACAGAAGTAGGACTGGGAGGGGTTCTCACAGAAGTAGGACTGGGAGGGGTTCTCACAGAAGTAGGACTGGGAGGAGTTCTCACAGAAGTAGGACTGGGAGGAGTTCTCACAGAAGTAGGACTGGGAGGGGTTCTCACAGAAGTAGGACTGGGAGGGGTTCTCACAGAAGTAGGACTGGGAGGGGTTCTCACAGAAGTAGGACTGGGAGGAGTTCTCACAGAAGTAGGACTGGGAGGAGTTCTCACAGAAGTAGGACTGGGAGGGGTTCTCACAGAAGTAGGACTGGGAGGGGTTCTCACAGAAGTAGGACTGGGAGGGGTTCTCACAGAAGTAGGACTGGGAGGGGTTCTCACAGAAGTAGGACTGGGAGGGGTTCTCACAGAAGTAGGACTGGGAGGGGTTCTCACAGAAGTAGGACTGGGAGGGGTTCTCACAGAAGTAGGACTGGGAGGGGTTCTCACAGAAGTAGGACTGGGAGGGGTTCTCACAGAAGTAGGACTGGGAGGAGTTCTCACAGAAGTAGGACTGGGAGGAACTTCCACATACAATAATAATAATAATAATATACAACATTTATATTGCGCCTTATATAATTTTTTAAATTTCTCTAAGGCGCTTTACAACATATGGATAATAGTAATGGCTATAATTGTGAAAACAAAACACAAAGGCTTACAATCACTTTTATAGATTTAAGCAAGCAATGTGCACATAAATGAACAAATAAAAGGGTGGTATTTACATGACGTCTTTGCAAGGATTCTAAAATGCGGGCGTGAAGAGGTGAGTTTTGATGTCCCTCTTGAACTTGGCCAGAGTATTTGACTTTCTAATAGCAGATGGTAAGCTATTCCACAACGTAGCCGAAACCCTCCCAAAGCATCTGTTTCCGCAGGTCACAGTACGAGATTTTGGGACACACAACAAAGATTCTGACTCCGACCGCAGTGATCGTGACAGACGAAGGATTGAGAGGGGCTCCAAAAAGGTATATTTGGTGAGATCCAAGAAGGGAATGCCAAAGTGTAACAAGAGGCCCAGAGGGCCTGTATCGCTCACATGGATATCTAACCAATCATGGCAAAATATTCTCCAAATGAGATCCAAGGGAATATGCCAGACCCCAAGACCAATCCTTGTAGTATATCTGTATTAGATTTTTCATGCCCAGCAATTTAATGTATAGTTATGGGTTGGGGATCTCAACTGTTTCCATGCTGTGGCTCAGATACTAGGTCCCTTGAGTTGTGGCCAGACCCCCGGATCAATTCTAATATCATGACTGCATTTGTCTCTTTTTGCCCAGCATTTGTATTTATAGTTTTGGGGTGAGGATCTCAACTGTTTCAAAGTTATGACCCAAGGATTACTTCTGCAAGGGTGGGGCAGACCCTGGGGTCAATTCTAATATCATGACTGCATTCGTCTCTTTATGACCAACTATGGTATATATAGTTTTGGGGTGGGGATCTTAACCATTTCAAAGTTATGACCCAGGGGTTAAGTCTCCGAGGGTGGGGCAGACCCCAAGGCCATCCTGGAAGCATATGTGCATTCATCTCTTTATACTCAGCAATTGTATATATGGTTATAGTGTGGGGATCTCAACTGTTTCCAAGCTGTGACTACGAAACTAGGTCCCAAGGGGTTCGGTCAGACCCCAGGGTCTATTCTAATATCATGACTACAATCGTCTCTTTATGCCCAGCATTTGTATATATATAGTTTTGGGGTGGGGATCTCAACCGTTTCAAAGTTATGACCCAGGGACTATGTCTCTAAGGTTGGGGCCAGACCCTAGGGCCATCCTAGAAGCAAATGTGCATTCTTCTCTTTATACTCAGCAATTGTATATATGGTTATACGGTGGGGATTTCAACCATTTCCAAGTAATAAAGTTTTTTTTGTCTCCCCTAGCCCAGGGGATCAGCTCCAACATTTATACAATTTTGAATCCATTCCTCCCATGAATGCTTCCGACCAAATATGATCGATATCCATGGCATAGTCCTACAGAAGAAGTCATTTATAGCAATTTAGCTAAATTGCCCACTTTTGGCCCCGCCCTCCCCTTAGCCCCCTGGGGGGTCAGCCCCACCATTTTACAATTTTGAATCACCACCACCTATAGGGATGCTTCCAGTCAAATATGGGTGATATCCATCATTTAGTTCCAGAGAAGAAGTCGCTTAAAGCAATACAGCCAAATTGCCCCCTTTTGGCCCCATCCCTCAGCCCCCTGGGGGGTCAGCCCCACCATTTGTACAATTTTGAATCCCTGACTCCCATGAATGCTTTTGATCAAATATGATCGATTTCCAGTGTATAGTTCTACAGAAGAAGTCGTTTGTAGCAATATAGCCAAATTGCCCCCTTTTGGCCCCGCCACTCAGCCCCCTGGGGGGTCAGCCCCACCATATGTACAATTTTGAATCCCC